AATACAAATACCAATGTCCTGGAAGAAACGCAGGAAGGATGGATAGAAGATGAAGGGCTCCTTCAGACCACTATAGCACTGAAAGTAATTTTTTTAAAAAATCACCACGTTGAACACACTTGAGCTTCTGTTGACTGTCTCTCTTCTTCCAGCAACCTGAAATATGTGGCTAATAATATCACATAACAGCTTTGTGGAAAAGGAGAATAAGCTTTAGTGACATTGCTTACTTTCTGCAGAAAATGCTGGGGTTTGGCTTATTGGTGATTATTTGAGTTTAACTGACTTAACTATTAATATAACTAAAGTTTTCTAACAATTTAAAATAATCATGGAAAGTTGTCAAGACATGGGCTGAAATATACAGTTATTTTGATTTTATTTAATTCACAAAGGATCCCCACAAAATCTTTCATATTCATCTCCTGCTGTCCACTTTCACCATGTATGCTGTAGTTCAGGCCCTCATCACCTTTCACCAGGACTATGACAACAGCTTCCTAATTGATCTTCATGACTCACGTCTCCCCCAAACTTCTTTAATCTATCCTCCACACACTTTAAGCCTAGATGCACTACAATGGCCCCTATCATTCATGTGGTTCCTTCCTCTAAACCTCTGGGAGTTTATTTTAAGTGGAAAGTTATAAATCAATCATAATTGTTCTAAACCCCCAAATAGGAAAATTTCCAACATTCAGAAAGAAGCTGAGCTCTCAGTCTTAATCTACATTTATATCTACTCTTATTAGCCCTTGGCTTCTTTGTAGTTGAAGCATAATTCAGATTATACGGGAGAACAATAGGTAATGAAACTGAAGATTATGTTATTGTATCTATGAATAGAAAGGCACTGGAGAGGCAGCTAGATGGCACAGTGGATAGAGCACCATCCCTGGATTCAGGAGTACCTGAGTTCAAATCTGGCCTCAGACATATAACACTTACTAGCTGTGTGACCCTGGGCAAGTCACTTAATCCCACTGCCTAGACAAAAAAAAAAAAAAAAAGACTAGAAAGGCACTGGGAGGGAAAATTGGGGGGAAAGCAAACTTAGGACTTCCCTTAGTCCTTGAGTAAATGGGTACATTGGTGTATCAGCCTGAGTCTTCTGCTCTGAGATGTCTGTTGGGCTAATGGTTCTCCTCAATATGTATATTGTCTATATATATATATATATATATATATGTGTATGTATGTATGTATGTATAAATATATATATGTATGTATGCATGCACATATATGGATGGATGTATATGTATATATACATGTATTATATACACATATACATATATGTATACACACAAGGATACATATATATATATATATATATCCCTTCTCTGACAAAACTTAACCCCATCTTCTCTTTCTTCCTTTGCTGATGGCCCATGGGCTTCTAAATCTTTCTGTTTCAGTTCTGCATGTCCTCACTCCTTCCCCTCTATAGCTAGACTCTCAGAATTTCACCTGGTTCTAACATCACTCTTCCTTTTTATACAAGTTCCTTAAGACATGACTAAGGTTCTCAAGAAATGGCTTTGATTAATTCAAGAAGGTGTACAGGCCCTGTTCACACTCTACACTGGGTTATGATTGATTAATTCAATCAAGAAACATTCTTACCTAACAAAGGTAATTCATTTTAAGTGGGGTTGGGTAATCAATAGAGCCCCACATTCACATCAATATTCCTGAAGCACAATTCTGATCATGTCACTCTTCCAATCAAGAAGCTTCAATCTCTCTCTTGTTTCTAGGATCAAATCCAAGCTCCTCATGTTGGAATTTAAAGCCATTCAAAATAAAACTCCAGCTTACTTTTCCACCCTTGTTGTACATTACTCCCATTCACATACTTTAGAATCCATCAAACTGGCCTTAGAGCACTCCATTTTCTATCTGTATGCCTTTACTTTATGCTCTAGCCAGACTGGCCTACTTTCTTCTATTCCCTATAAATGACATATAATTTCCCTATTCTATTCCTTTGCACAGTCTATGTCTGGAATGCTTTCTCTCCCTACTTTTGCTTCTAGGAGCCTAGACTGCCCTTCAAAGGCAAAAGTCAAATTCCACCACCTAAACAATGTCTTTCTTACATTCCTCATTTATTACTGTTTTTGTCCCACTGTGTAACTTTGTATGTACTTTTTGTTTAGTTTTTATTTGCTTATCTGTGTATACTTGTTCTCCCATTTCCATCTCCTATAAATTATAAGCTTTCTGAGGCAGAGCTCATTTTGGTTTTGTCTTCATATAGTCAACACCTAACACATTTCCTTGCAAACAGATTTAACCAACTCCTCAGAAGCTGAAAATTGCATAGTAGATGTGCTAAGGAAACTGGGCAGGGGTTGAGGGGAGAATCTGAAGGATGCCTCACTCATCACTGCATCCAGGACTACATGAGTAGATCGTTGAGTGATGGCCACTGGCTGAGGTCATGGTACCTTTCTTACGTAGAAGAGCAGGAAAAGACACAGCAGAGTGGAACAAGGTGATTACCAGACTAGACAGAGGAATAACATAGTAACTCATATGTCCTAGGGTCAGTGAGTAACACCAATTCGGTTAACAATACCTTTCTTTTAGGTGACAGTCAGTGGTCATCACTTAGTTCTCTGTTTGGACAGTTTCAGATGCAGTCCTGGTTGACTCTCCCCTTTATCCCCCAATTTCTTCAGCATGGCTGCCATTCTTTCCTCCTATAAGCTCTCAATTTTTCTCAAAAGTCCATTCAAAGTCAAAAGGAAAACCACAGGAAACAGAAGAACTCTAAATAACCTAATTAACTTAGAGTCTGGCCTACCAAATTTCCATGGTAACAGTTTGAGGGAGAGGAATCCCAAGTTACATTCATTACAACTTCAAGTACTATAACTAGGACTACCAAAATAAAAATCCTTTAAAAAATCCTCAATAAAAGTACCACCAGCTTTTTCAATAAAATAACAAATACTAGCCACTTAGAAACTCTACTTACAGGTGAAGTGATTAGGGTATAATCTATTTCACAACCTAATAAACCATTCCTGTCACTTTCTTCTCTATTTTGCTTCTACCTCTCATTCTTTCTCTTTCCTTTTTTTTAACTCTTTTCTCACTTTATATCATTCTCTCCATTCTTCAGTGTCTTTGGTTTCATTCATTTTCCTGTATCTCTCTTCTCTCTGTATTTTTTCCCTTAAAACACTGTCCCCTCTTCACTTTCTCTCATTCTGTCCTTCCCATTCTTTTCATTTTAATTACACTAAGCCTATACAGAGAAAAGTTCTATTTAGAAGTGGAAAAACAAAGTAAACAAGTAACTTATATTGCCCAGATTATGATATGAGGCTGGACAGGTCACTGTCCAGTGATTTAGTATGTTAATATATCTGTTTCAAACAACCTCTGTAGATAGATCATAATTAAACCGAAGCTGAGCAGGAGGAAGAGATATGTTAATGCTTTTGGAAAACTGTGGTGTTTTCAATGATCCTAAACTATTCATATCTGTAAAAGACCAATAACTTAACAATAATAGTCTACCAGTGATACTATGTGGCTGTGACTCTGACTACCATGATCTTAAAAGAATTAAAATGACAAAAAAACCAAAAGGATAATGAAATTTCATGGTGGACCTAAGCAGGCTGAAGCATTTTACTCAGAACAGCTTTTGTTCAAGGTGTCACATATGACATTACATGTGACAGATAGAACCAGAAGAAGAGACAGATCTTTCCTGTGGTGAGAATGAGAGACAACAGATGGATAGCCCATGTGGTACTCTGATACCTCTGGGATATTAAAAGGACAAAAGGAAATCTTTCATGCAAGGGATAGATCTTCTTGGGATGATTTGATAGAATGGAAATAGGCATAAGACTCCCACCTGATGAAAAGGTAGGAAGGACTTGTGGTCAGTTGGGAGACTGAAATCACACCATTGAGTTGCTAGCAATGAACCTTAAAATTTGAGTGACTGATAGGTTTAACCATTGCAGCATCCTCAAAATATTTTTATTAAAAGAAATGAACCTCCAGTTTTAAGAACATGAAAGGAAGTCTGTCCTGTACCTGTTCTCCTACCCAACCAGAGCACGAAAAAGGAAAATACCCAGAAACAACTCTGTTAAAGAGTACCACACACCCTTCCTTCCTTGCCTTTGCAAGCAGATCTGGACCCATTCCCCAACACTGATCCCCAGCCCCACGATGGGTTTAATAAAAACAAGAAGTGTGCATAACATATGCTTGAAACCCACAAGGAGAAAGGTCGCATACAGGGCTGTTGTTACATTATTGCCACTGGATAAGGTTCTAGTAAAACACTGCATTCAGAACTTCTGGCTGGGTTTCCCTTCAGCTCAATTCATTTCAGACCTTCATTGACAAGCATTGTTGCTCAGCAACCTAATAGTCAGTTGTTGAGCAAATGAATGTTATAGGCTAGCAGTTCTCATTAGTAAGATTTAACCACCAAAGAGTCATTTTTCCTACTGAACACCAGGCTTAAAGAAAGAAGTCAATTTATCACTTCTTAAATGTAATAATGCCCTCTAATGAGGTTAACGGATTCTCACTGACTAGGTTAAGGAACAAATTGAACATCATAAAGCAGTTTTGAGAAATGTTTTCTCTCCGAAAGGAACAGAATGGAATGGAAACATATAGAAGTGCTTACTATGTGTTCTAGAACTGTGCTAAGGGTTAGAAATAAAAGCAACAGGTGCTGCCCTCGGGAAACTTAATTGTAACAGGGGAAGCCACTATATAAAATAGAAGAATGTAGAATGAAGATAGCTAGAAAGTAATGAAGTGAATTTGGTTCCAGGCTACATATGGGTGAATGCTTACTGATCTTAAGCCTCTTGTCCTAGGGTTGGGGCTTGGAATTTCATGACAGAGTTGGAATGGACCCATTGCTTATTTAACACAGGAAACAATATTCATGTACCCCAGATTATGCCAGAGGAATCCTGGTGCAATGATCATGGGATAGCTGAACCCCTTACCTTACCGCACTGCTTACATTTTCCCTCCTGGCGCCGCCTGTGTACCCAGTGATGATGGACAAAATTCTGCAGGGGAACAAAATAAAATGAGTGTCTTTTTGGAAGAAAAATAGCAATTACTTTTCACTATACTTCTAGAAAATAATTTCGCCCAAAGCATTTTCCAAACCTGTGTAAATGAAGGAAAGAACCCCACCCCCACCTCCACACACACACATATGCATGGGTTAATAGCTCAAAACCAGACCTAATTCCTAAAGCTTAATTCCTAAAGCTAATTCCTAAACTCACTCCCCTGAGATTATCAGCATTAGGAATGACCTATGCATTTGAGAGAGGATCCTTCATATCAGGAAAGTTGTCAATGAATTCAGGCTTCAGTGGGTTTTGGCTTTGGTTTGTTTTGTTTTGTTTTGTTTTGTTGTTGTTGTTGTTTTTGAAATTAGGTTTCCTTATCTCACACAGGCTAGAAGTGCAGAGGACACTCATGACCCTATTGCAATACTGACCAAAAAGGAAACTAACTTACTCTACTTCTCTGACCTGGCCGATTTAGCTCACCCTAGGCAGCCTAGTGGTCGGTCCTCCAACTACCTAGGACTCCCTACCTTGGTGCTGATCCTTGATCAGCTTAAGCCCTACAGTAGCTTAGAATGTGCAAGTCTACCCTGAAGTAATCTGCCACCTCCTTTATCCCCCAATAGCTGAGATTACAGGCATGTGCCACCACACTAGACCAGGGTTCAATGTTTCTGTTAGACTGGATGACCACTGAGATCCCTTCTAGTCCTTCAGGTTGAGGATGAAGGGAAGAGTATTATTTAGCCAATAGTTGCTTCCCAACTTTCTTCACTGCAGATTTGTGAATATACCAGAGGGACATTGGGTGGGAGTCCTTGGAATCTCACAATCTTTAAGGTAAACTGAGATATTCTCTGGTGGTAGTAAGAGAACACTGTAACAGTGAAGGAAAGATAGAAAAAAGAAAAGAAAAGAAAAGATCAGAGAAGGAAAGATTAAAAAAAAGAAAAGAGAGAGAAAAGAGAAGATAAAAGGAGATAGAAGAGAGAAGACTGAATAGCCTAAACACATTTGTTGTTTAGTCAGTTCAGTTGTATCCCACTCTTCATGACCTCATTTGGGGTTTTCTTGGCAAAGACAGTGGAGTAGTCCTAAGTAGGGGCAAATTAGGGGGATTTGTAATCCCTAAAAATCCAATTTATTAAGCACTTATCATGTGCCAGGTACAGTGCTAAATACTGGGGATACAATTAAGAAAAAGAAAGTCCCTGCCCTCAAAGAGTGTACAATCTAATAGGGGGAGACAACACACAAAAGGGGGAGGGGAGAGGAGAGACCAAAGATTAGAAATGACTTACTGATTACTGTTCCTTATACATGGCATTCCATTTCCTAGCTTTGTGCCTTTATACTGACTATACCTCATGCTTTCATGTATTCCTTCCTCACCTCCTGTTCTCAGAATCTCTAGTTTCCTTCAAGATTCACATCAAAGGCCACCTTCTACAAGAGGTCTTCCTTGATCCCCCTCCAGCTTCAAGAATCCTCCCTACCTCCAGTCACCTAGTATCTATTTAGCTTATACTTTATAGATATGTGTATATGTACACGCAGCCTCCCCCAGAGGAATGAAAGCTCCTTGAGGCCAGGAACGTCATTCTTAACTTTGTATCCCCAGGGTCTAGCATGGTGCCTGGCATATAGTGGGTGCTCAATAAATGCCTATGAAAGGACTATCAGACACAATAGCAAGACTTTTTCATGTTACTAAAAGAAGGGAAGACAGAAGAATGAGTAGAGAAAATGAAAAGAAAAAGTTTTATGGGTCAAAGATTCTGTGATGCAGTGGGGAAGGTGGGGCCCAGCCTACCATTTGAAAAACACTTACCTAGATGGTATTTAAGGCCCCTTCTAATCCTAGGATTTGGTGATCCAGAATAAAGAAGTTGCTTGACTCATATAAGATAGAAACCTACTTATGGAGGAGACAGCTAAATGGCATGTATCAATACCAGTTTTAGGATAAAGTATGAAAAGAAAACTATCCTTGGTGCTACAAATCTTCATGTAAAATGTAATAGCCATATGAAACTGACCAGGAAAACCTAGATTGTTTTTTCAATAAAAATAACATTGAGAAAGAAAAAAAGGAAAATCTCTGAAGAGTTGAGTAAAGTATTATTTTTTTGGTGTGCTAGTTTCTGAACAAACACACTCCAAACTCAAGTTTCTGGTAAGCTCTGACTCAAACCACCTTCTTCTCCTTACTAGATTAAGTAGTAAGCAAAAACATTATAGAATCATAGATTTAGAGTAGGAATGGTCCTGGGAGGTCATCTGATTCAAACTCCACCCTGACCCACCCCATTTTACAAATGAGGAACCTCAGCCTGGCAAAGTTAAATTACTGGACCAAGGTCACAAAGATTAGAAGAGCAGGGATTCTAACTCAGGTTCTCCAAGTCCAAATCCAGCACATTTTCCAGGGTATTATACTTTACCCCAAAAAATTAAATAGGGCCTTTGTAGTATAATGTGAGATGTACTTAGTGATGAGAATACCTCTAATAAGAATGGACACCTTCAGGAGAAAAATTTCATATCTCCTTCAGTCTTTAACAAACTATTCACTGATCAAAAGCCCATGGACTTTACTAAGTCTTTCAAAAATAAAATGGGCACAATGTTCCCTAAAATCGGTCTGATTTTCCTCTTGATAGAATTTGGCTACAGAAAGCTCCATTCCTGCCCTGTGCCCCAAAATAAGGATGTGGGCAAATTTTTAAGGTGACATCCAGACAGATAAGGATCATAGAATTTAGCTCTGAGAGAGACTTTGGAAATTATCTAGTCCAATGCACCTCATTTTTTACAGGAATGAGGAAACTAATGCTTAGTTGAAATGATTTCCCTTGGGTCATATAATAATAATAGCTAGCTAGTTAGCATTTACAAAGTGCTTTATGGTTTGCAAAGCACTTTACAAATGTTATCTCAATTTGTCCTCACAATAACCATAAGAAGTTATTCCCATTTTACGTATGAGGAAACTGAGGCAGAGGTTAAGTGACTAGCCCAGGGTCCTAAAGCTACAAAGTGTCTGAGGCTGGGTCTTCCTGAAGTCACTGTATTCTATCCACCCAGTTGCCTCTTCCACTACTTAGTGAATTTTGCTATATCGCTATTGAATGGATACATGAGATTGTTATTGTTCAGTTGTTTCAGTCATGACTGACTCTTTGTGACCTCATTTGGGGTTTTCTTGGCAAAGATACTGGTTGGTTTGCCATTTCCTTCTTCAGCTCATTTTACAGATGAAGAAACTGAGGCAAATAGGGTTAAGTGACTTGCTTGGGATCACATAGCTAGTAAGTGTCTGAGGTCAGATTTGAACTCAGGTCTTCCTGACTCCAGACCCAATGCTCTATCCAATGAACCACCTAGCTGTCCTAGATGATATATAGAGTAAGTCATATAACTATCAATACTTCAGGGAAAAGACCATCTACCTACCCGTGCCCCAAAGAGGTTGTTCTTATTGAGTTGTTTTCCAGTCATGTCTGACTCTGTTACCCCATTTGGGGGTTTCTTGGCAAAGATACTAGAGATATTTGCCAGTCCCTCCTCCAGATGAGGAACTGAGGCAAACAGGGCTAAGTGACTTGCCCAGGGTCACACAGCAAGTTAGTGTCTGAGGCCAGATTTGAACTCAGGAAGATGAGTTTTCTTGATTCCAAGCTCCCCAAAGAATTTACAATGAAAGAAATAATACTAATAACTGAGGGCAACTTGAGCAATTATTGAGTGCATCCCTCTGCCTATCTAGAATATAGAAGCCTGTTCTATTGCTAAAAATTCCAGGGAAAAGGTAGATATATTTGAGATGTGGCTTTGAAACACATTTGGATGGAAGTATCTCTGTGTCCTAGAATTCCTAGAAAGGGACACTCAGAAAAAAACTGAGACTCGGTGACTGTAGAGAGCTGGAAGGGATCTCAGAGCTCACTGAATCCAATCCCTTCCTTTTACAGATCAAGAAACAGCAGCTCATTGAAGTCATGGCCCAAAGAGACAGAGGATGTTAACTCAGGGTTCATGCCTCCAAGTGCTCCAAGTTCAACCCTTCTGTTTTTCCCACTACTGACCATACTGTCTCTTATTAAGGGTCAAATAAGAGGGGAGAAATCATTCTGAAATGCAGAGTCAGTATGATGGAGTGGATAGGGAGGGACCTTGAAGTCAGGAAGACCTGGTTTCAAGTCCTGTCTTTCTGTCACTGGCTATAGCAGAGTCACTTAACCTCTCTTTGACTTATAAATTGCCTTGATAGAGAAGTTACTTACTGGGAGTTCCTGGGAAGCTAGATGGCTCACTGGGTAGAGCACTGAGCCAGGAGTCAGGAAGACCTGAGTTAAAATGTCACCTCAGACACTTATAAGTTGTGTGAGCCTTCACAAGTCAATTGACCTCTATTTGCCTCCATTTCCTCATCTGTAAAACGGGTAATGACAGCACCTGCCTCCCAGGGCTACTATGAGAATCAAATGAGATAATAATTGTAAAGAGCTTAGTAAGTGCTATATAAATGTTAGCTACTAATATTATTATTAAGTCACTGGAATCACAGGTCTGGTCCAGAACAAGAATGTATCCACAGGGCTTGCTCATTTCTGCCAATGAACAACATTTGTGCCCAGAAACGTCATGAGCAGTTTTCCTACCCAGTCAAACATCTCAAAAAAGTTTCCTCAGATCAAATTTTAGAGATAAATTCAGTTGGAAATGGAGAAAAAGAAATACTGAGGGACCAGCCACCACTGGTGAAGACCACAGAAAAAGTAAAACCTTTCCACCAGGCGCAAGGTGAGGCTCATTTGGGGTGCAGCAGTCAGGGATGGGAGCTCTTATTACTCATTAATGAAGTGATAACCTTAGTTATTCTACACTGCTAAAGAAGAATGAAGGTTGTCAGTTCCCTCTAAATGTGAATGTCCAAGATCCAGCTGCCCCACTCTACTGATGACTGCCTAGGTCAAACTCACAGA